TTTCATTCCATCTTCATGGAGTTTTGAGGATTGGAAAGATAAAAATATATTAATAAAATTTTTAAAAATTTAAAAAGGTCTATTTTGAAAGTACATGAGAGCTTATAAATACTTACATAACATATGTCTTGCTTGTGGATTTAACACCTCCTATAGGAACTCTTCTAACAATTACAGATGAATTCTTAGGAATTAGAGCATTATCATCAGTATACTCTGGAAACAAAGAGACAAAGAGTCAAAATCCTATTTGGGGACTTGGGTAAATACCCAAGAAATAGGAATCGGCTCACCAAATATAAATTTTAAGGGAAATGAGACAGAAGAGCTCAATACTATTTGTTCCTTGCATCTACACTGCTAGTCATGAGAGCAAATATGCAGAACCGTAATGGCGCTTCCCTTCAATTACACCGAACAGTATGACCGGATTTTTGGCTCTATCACCCTATATTGCAGAATTTCAAATCTCAGTAAACTACAGAGCTAGGTGGGGTGGCACACGCCTGTGATTCCAGCACTCAGGAGGCTGAGGCAGGAGGACTACTGTAAGGTGAAGGCCAGCCTGGGTTACCCAGTTAGTTCAAGGCCAGTATACATACTGAGACCTTGTTTTAGCAAAACAAAACCAAAAAAATCCCACAATACAAAAAAACAACAAAAAATGAAATTTATGAAGAGAGCTGTTCTTTAAAATGAAGACAGTCTTCCTCCTGTGGCCCCTAAACATGAGCTAAATATTATGATCCCTGCCTTCATGGCGCTCGTTACTGGAGACGACAGACTAAGCGTTCCATTAGGATATATTGCGAATAGAGAAAAGCGCTTTCTAATAATGAATGGCAGATCCAACTTTGGACAGAACGCTGATCCAAAGAGAAAGACAGTTGTTTCCTCTTCCTAAACGATACTTGTGACTTAAAAGACAGACAAGCCAGCCAGCTATATAAAAAAGATGAATATTTTAAAGGGAAAACCATGTGCAAGAAAGACAGAACTATAGAACTAAAAAAGTAATATAAAATACAGGCAGGAAAGTACAGATCAGCCGGGCATGGTGGGGCATGCCACCAGCCACCTGAGTGCTGAGGCAGGACGACTGCCTGGAATCTCAGCACTTAGCAGGTTGAGGCAGGAGGATCGCCAAGAGTTTGAGGTCAGCTTGAACCACAGAGGCAGACCCATCTCCAAAACAAAAAGAAAAATAAATACGGATCATATACTGACATACTTAGTTTCTAAGTACAACAGGAAATCATGACAAAAACTTATGTTGGAAAAAGATTACCATGGCATTTACATGGGAACGATAAGGGGAATAAAAACTGAAGTGGGGTGACTATAAGGCTGCTACTTAGTCCACGCAGAAATAATGACTGCTTGTGTTAGATGTGGCAAACAGGGACTGTGAGAACGCTGTAAGGACAGAACTGAACACAATTTGCTCATGCTCTGAATGCTGGGAAGATGAAGATAAGGGATAAGGTATGAACGGCTGCGTTCCCAGCTTCAGTAAATGGCTGAGCAATGGTGTCACTCTTTAGAATCAACAGCGAGGAGGAATGGGTGCTATTTTTTGACTCCCTCAGCTGTCCAGAGATTACAATACGTCTATAAGAATTAAATTAAAGAGACTGGACCTTAACTATCATACACAGATTTGCTAAGGAAAGAATGTAAAAACAAAATGAAACAAACCTTACTACTTAGACCTCCAAAAGTCACTTAAGAGACCCAACCCCTTAGTCCCACAACTGGACATGAAGGTTGCCCTGTAATGTTCACTCGCTTTACCTACATTACTTAGCACGATGGGGCTGACTCTCTCGATCCCTCTAATTATCTCGTTTATAACATGCGCAGGCATTTTTGGCTTTGCATGTACATAGATCACTATTATTTTTAGTCACGTTATCACTATTCCCTGCTACAATTGAACTGTTCAGGCAAAAGTTCTTTCAGCGTATTTCAAGTAACTGGCTGTGTTTCACAGGTTCCCAATTAGGATGATGCCATTTCCTAGACTTACACATGCCAATGTAAGGCTATCATCGTTATCTTGGCTAGCTCATGACAAATCCCAATTCCAAGCAAGCTCTGAGTCAGAGAAGTCTACAGCAGAGGTTGGAGGATTTTTAATAAATTTAAAAAGTTAATTCTAGAACCAAAACAGTATCAAAAATTTGAGGGGATGTTTCAGAAACTCTTATCAGCTTAGTGTGCTAAGCACAGCACAGCAGCATGCTAACAGTACTGAAAGTCAGGTGAGCCAGGTGCCTCAAGCAGGCATTCTAATTCACCACTTAAGTGCCTGGATTACAATGGCTTTCTATCCCTAGAAGTACCTATGCTTAAAATAATTTCTTAACACAAGCAGTCCATCATTTCACTTCAAAAGACATGCTAGTAGGCCGGGGATATAGCTTAGTGGCATAGTGCCTGCCTGGCAAGCACAAGGTCGTCAGTCTGACTCCAGGTACCAAAAAAAGGGACAAAGACATGCCAGAGTAAGTTTTGATACAGAAATATGAAAGGTATGGTATGGAAAGAAAACAGGATGAGCTGGGTGTGGTGGGGCACACCTAAGACCCAGCACTCAGTAGGCAGAGGCCAGGGGATCAATTCGTGGCCAGCCTGGTCTACGCGGTTCAAGGCCAGCCCGTACAACAAAGGTAGATCCTGACTCAAACAAACACCCCCCCGCCCCCAAAATAAACCAACAGCCAAAAAAGAAAAAAATAAGATGAATTTGAGAAATGGAGAGCCAAAAAGATAGTAAAGGTCTTTTTTTTGAGACAGGATCTTGCTGCGTAGCCCAGGCTGGCCTTGAACTTGCATCGACCCTCTTGAGTGCTGGGATTACAGGTAAGCACCACCACGCTCCGCAGTAAATGGCTAGTTTAAAAATACTTCATGTTCAGTTTCCAAAATTTGTTTTTTTTTGGAGTTGGCACAGATACATAGAAGTTTTTCACATATAATAAAATCACTTGGGATCCAGTGTGAAATACAGTCTACAAATAAACAAACAGTATTCTCATGTCTACACAATTCAAGCATGTTAGTCTGTTGTTTTAAGGATTTTAAGAAATGTTTTGTAGAAACATGGTAGATTAGGCAATTTAAACATTTGTTCACACTAAAATGATCCAGTTCAACATTTTCTCTTTAAGAAGCAAAACATTTATTTTGCAACCTTTAATTCACGGGTTAGTGCTAAAACCAAGTGGCATTCTTAATCCAGCTGCCTGGTAACATTTGATATTATTTTCCATTAAATTCATTAAGTAGCTACTACTGTCAATAACCCTTTTCTCCTCTAGTTTGAGGACTGCATATGACACACATTTTGTCTCACAAGTCTTAGCCAACCTAACATTAGCCTTTCTCCAGTAAAGGGCAGCTCACACAATACATAAAAGGAATTATGTTGCTGAGCAAAGGAGTTGCCCGGATCGCAGGGTCCTGATCACATATCATACATTCATATTTCCTGGACTGGAAGGAAAAATAATAAAATGTCACCAACGCTTCCGTTTTGTAGACAAGGTTCCTCTAACCACAGCCTACTCTAGTTTAAAAGCTGTGCTTACTTGCTAGATGGACAAGATGGTAAGGTCGAGCCTCAAATGATTCCACCGTGCAACGCTCACGGAACTATGAAACCTGCATAGTATACCACAATTTAAATTCCCCCGCCCAAAAAGAAAAAATTCCCTAATATCCTACAGTGCTACCTCCACTGTCTTTCCTCTCACTCACACTCAGTATAGCAAGAGGCCTAAAAATTTTAAAAACCCATCTGTTTTGTGAGCTTTGATTATAATACTCAGGGATACTTTTGGTGGATTTAAAAAGCCATTTCTCAGTCGTTCATGACTAACAATTTCCCCTCTCCCTAAACAGAATACAGATAATTACAACTGACATTTTTTTTTTTTTTTTTTAAGAGGAGGCAGACAATATTCCTTAGCACATTATGAGTAAAGTTTTGCCTTTATGGCTATTTCTGAGTCCATGATCTGACAGTATTGCTCTTCCTTAGCCTTCAACAGTCATACTTCATGTCTACATTACAAATGAAGAAACTAGTCTTCTACATGAAAAGTTACCTACCAAACTACAGGCTAGAGGCAGGAGATTTCTCATCTCAGGTAAAACACAAAAACTCACAAAAATCCCATTCAACGCCACAGGCACCAAAATCCACCCTAATGAGCGCTTCAGTCTACTTCTTCAAATCCCTTCAGTGTATCTCAGAAGACTGATCTGAAAACTACACATCAGCATTACTTTACCCAGAAAAAGAAACCGAAACGGGCTCAGTCAAAAAGCTTCCTGGCGGCACTTACAGTATCTACTCTTCAATTCCTAACAGTACACGTTCAAAACGCAGAAAGAACTCCGGGATTCTAACCAGCGGCCGATCTGTACTCACTGGAGAGGCCCACCATTTCTCAGTCTCATAAAAACCTACCTTAAGCAAAAGCACCAGTACTTTCGCATTGCAATTGTGCTGCTAAATTTTAAGAGTAACACGATGAACTAAAAGTTCAACTACGACTGTGTTACTAGGTCCGGAATTCACAGACAAGACAAAAGCAATTACATGAGAGCACTTTAGGCTCCGGAAGCAATTCTGACGTTGGTTCTAGTCTCAGAAATATAAAGGTGACGACTGCTCCTCCCCAACACTCGAAATAAATAAGGGGGTGGGAGAGAAGACAACTTGCTATTCAACTCCAGACAGGTTACAAAATGAGAAACTGACTTGCTGCTTTTGCAGGAGAGAAACCTGTTTGGGCTCTGATTTCCCGACAAAAAGCGAAAGTTACAAAACACCACCGGGGAAGCGCCCAGAGGACGTGGCTAACAACCTTCCTACCCTCGCCTTCCCCTCGCTTTTTAAAAAAAAAACAAAACCCGAGATTAATCGGACTGCGCGTTTCGGATTAGCCTACGGACGGGTGACCCGAAGACGCAGAAATCAAGTAAACCAAGTGAACGCCAAGGTCGGCTGCTGTAACCCCTGGCGATGACGGAAGCTGGACCGCGAGCATTAAGATGGTAACAGCGGCGCGCGGCCTCGCGGCGGGCCCCTTCCTCAGCTCCCCCACCCGCCCGACCTCGGGGGCGCCCGACTCTCACCTTCCTTCGTCTGCGCGTTGGTGATCTGCAGGTCGCTGTCGGCGGCTTTCAGCTTCTCTCTCCCCATGATCTGCTTCTTTAAGTCGCAGAGGGAGATGTGCAGCCCGTCAAAGGTGACCGTGTCATAGTTGCGTTTAGAGGAAAATTTATAATGCACACAGGACATTGTGCCAAAGGGTGCCTAAGGTTCAGCGAGGAGACGTGGACACGCTCAATATACGTATATTTATCAATGTAAGAGCAAGATATGTACACACACAGAACACGCGAAGACAGCGCGGGGCCCCGCGGCCGCCGATCGGGCACCCCGGCGCGGGCAGGGGCTCGCGGGACAACAATGCAGCACCACCCCGGGCTCAGCGGCGCTCCATGCGGGAGGAGGAGCCCGCTGCGGGCAGGGAGGTCGCGATCCGCCAACGGGCGCGGC